TATAACCATAATGAGTTATGGCAAAAAAAAATGCAGTAGTTCATTGTTGTTACCAATCTTGGCATTATGCACATTACAATTTTGACATAACTCAATGCTCGCCTTTGAGTCACATATTCACTATTCCTGGCTTCTGCTTCATTATTGAATAGCATTATCATAATTTACTCTCAATTACATCATAATTACATACTGCATGTACACAGTGCAGGAAATTTTAAAAACTTCAATATTTCTATATAGAGATGATGCATAAACTAGTAGCACTTTTCCTAAATTATCGATCTCAATAAGCGAAGGTCTCAATCTCTTTGCATAAAAACCATAAACAAAGAAACAATATGTAATATTTGAATGCTACTGAGAATGACAAATTTAGTTTATCTTCAATGAGTTAACTAACCATATGAAGTCATTAAAGTTTTGAATTTCCTGCACCGTACGTCTTAATTCTTTTTTTATTCAGGTTGACTAACCGGTATGTGAAAAAAGATTGATCTTCCTTTTTATTTACCCGTTATCGTTACTACTATTACATTTAAAACTAATATAGAAGTGATTATCAAGACCTTCATTAATGTCTTCGTTACGATCTTTGATACAGTCTTTGACGATCACAGATTATCACAGGTAAAAAATTCGGCGAAATTGGCAAATACCTCAAAAATAGGCAAAAGAGTCTAAAATGCCAAGCTTGTTAAACGTTGATAAAACAAAGCACGATTATGGTATGTTTTACGCAAATTTTATCACGGAATGCACGAGTTGGCTCTTTAGCTCATTCAGGTACGTAAGTGCAGTGCATATAAAGTATCATAAAACGTCTTATTTCCCGTGTAACTACTCCCTCACATTCAAGAAAAAGAGAATCAAGTTATTGATTGACTTATCTAACACAATTAGTCGCATATAACCAAAATACATGCAACATAACTATGAATTAATGAGTTAATGAGTTAATTAGTTAATAATGTACGTACGTACGTACTAGGAGATGAAATAGCTAATAATGAAAGGCGTATGCACTGGAAAAATGTTATGCCATCGTAATTCCAGAGTGATAGACGATCGGGACAATACAAGCAGGTGCGAAAACAATAACGATAGCGATAGGGCAATAAATGATACTTTCAGAATAAACAATCTTAGCTTAATAATATTATGCACGTGTCCAAATGCACTGGAAATTCTAACCAGCAATAACTTCACGAACACGGTATATAGTTGTCAGGCTGCCCCATTACTTACTAACCTTACTGTCTTGAATAAAATCCAGGAATATAATGAATTACTAATTTTAATTAATATATCCCCAAACACAATACCTGGTTTTTCACACAGCACAACATTTAAATTTGATTTTAAACCAAATTTATAATTTATTTATTAATTTCTTGTATCGACATTAGTGGAATTAAAATTCAAACTATAGTTAGATGGTTTTCAATTTTCGCATTATCTTTGCAAAAGTTTAAAATCAAGTTTTTAATAATATTTGAATAAATTTTTTTTTTTCATTCCCTTTAACATCGACCCTATTGGTGCTCCTTTTTAGTCTCGATTGGTAACTATTACTAAATAGTAAAAGCCTAATACCCTATTGGTACCCTGTTAATCCATTTATCTATTGGATATCCAGATCTGAATTTATTCGGATATCCGTTTTTCTATTGTTATCCGGATAATTATTTGAATATTTGTCGGATTACCCGAATACCAGTTGTAAATGAATATGGATAAATTCAGATATAGATAAAAGCATGACGGATTTATCCGGATTGTACCTCTACTCTAATAGATACCCTATTGACATCCAAAAATAGGGGTTCCCTATTGAACATCGTTTTACCTGTGAGTAGAACCCCGATTGGTGACTGTTAACTAAATAGTTTATAATCAGTAAAAACCATATTGACCCTACCGATACCCTATTGGTACCTTGTCAAAAATAGGCAGCAATAGTTAGGTTCCCTATTGAACCTCATTTTACCTGTCATAACCCAAAATTAGCAAATATAATTAGTCAGCTATTTTGCTACGCCAAGGGGTAGGCTAAAGTCAGGTACATCACGATATTACCTGATATGCAACCGAACAAAATAAAGCGAAAAACAAAGACAAAAACATGAAAAATATAAAGAACGGCTATTTAAACTGGTTTTGATTCACTATGTAAAAGTGTCGGAAATGCGATTTTACTATATATAAAATTTTCTCTTTACCCTTAATCTGACCTTAACCCTAATATCAATCGATTTTAATTAAATATCGGGAAAATCGTGATGTACTGTACGTACGTACCTGGCTTTAGCCATTGAACCTAGGTGCCGCACAAAAAATGCGCTCAGCTAAGAACGATGATCAAAACATTAGGCCGGAATTACTCATAATTTTACTAATGAAATCGCAACCGCCCATTAAGTAAAAATTGTTCCTGGTGAAAAAATTAAAAAGTTAATGCCAGTCGGAAATTAGTAAACAATTATGTAATGCGGGCCAAATTTTTGAAGATCCTCGGCCGTTAGCCAATCAAAATCGAGGATCTGCCGCGCATTTTTTGTGCGGCACCTAGGTTCAATGGCTTTAGACGTCCCTACGCCAATTATATTTGTTAATTTTGATTCATATAGCTTCCAAAAGACTCTGCGCAGCTTAATTTTTATTTAACAACTGGTCAAATTAGTTATTTATATATAATTATCCAATAATATAATCAAATACACAATCAAGTAGTTTTATATTAAAAATTTTAACAAGAATCTTGAAGGGGCAAAATTTTGAAAAAGTTAGCCAGAGTTAGTTTAATGTTGGCTAATTTTTAATCCTGTCGAAATTGATAAGTTGTAAAATACTAATTTTATTAAAGATAAAATCATATTAAATAAAATAATTGGCTAAAAATATGTTGTAATTAATATAATAATGTTAAACGAATATAATAAATTATAAAAATTAGTATTGGTGCCATCTTTCGCAATCGCAAAAATTATTAAACGTAAAATATTACAAATTTAAATATGATTTTTGTTTTTTCATTTTTTCGTAAAAAAAAGATCAATTTTTACATTGATCGCGTAAAACATGCCCACACATTATTGTACATAGTAAATTGTTGATTTGACATGAATAACTGCGGTAATATTATGGCAGCAGTTTTCTCGAGTCCATTTCTCGGGATGGCTTTTTTTTTTTGGTCCATTTCACCTAAAGTTGCCAAATCGTTGATTTCTGTACTATACGATATTAAATCAAATTAAACAGCTTATAATGTTAATTTATTGTCCGAAGCGTAGCGAGGACTCAGCAATTGAATCGTTGATTTCTGTACTATACAATATTAAATCAAATTAAACAGCTTATAATGTTAATTTATTGTCCGAAGCGTAGCGAGGCAATTGAACGCACAAAAAATGCGCGCGGAATTACTCATGATTTTACTAATGAAATCGCAGCCGCCCATTAAGTGAAAATCGTTCCTGGGCGAATTTTACCATAGTGCTGTAGTGCGGGCTTATTTTTTAAAAATTTCTATTTTCGTAATGAAAATTAATTCCGGCCGGAAATTAGTAAGCAATTATCAGTTATGTAATGCGGGCCAAAATTTTGAAGATCCTCGGCTGTTAGCCAATCAAAATCGAGGATCTGCCGCGCATTTTTTTAGTACCCAAAAACAATATTATATATTTTTTTCAAACTTTGAGCGAAGATATCTCATTAACTGCATATCTAAACCTTTGAAAATTTTTTATATTGATTCTATGAATCAATTAAATTAAAATAAAAAAATTTCCATCGATTTTTGATAGGTATTTACTGAGATATTTTCGCTCAAAGTTTGGAAAGAGCGGCCATAATTTTTGTTTTGATAATCCCTTCGTCTAAACTTTTTTTGAGATATCTCTATAACTACTTAACTAAAATCGTTGAATTTTTTTTTTTTTTATATTGATTCTATGAAACCATAGAATTGAGATAAAAACATTTTCATTGATTTGGATAGGTTGCTATCGAGATATCATCGCTCAAATTGTAAAGAACTTAGCCGCGGTCTTTGTTTTGATAATCGTCTAAATTTTTTTTTGAACTTTAAACAAGAATATATCAATAAGTACCTATCTAAAATCGATGGAATTTTTTTATTTTGATTCTATGAATAAATATAATTAACTAAAAAAATTTTCATTGCTTTTGTATAGGTAGTTATTGAGATATCGTCGCTCAAATTTGTAAAGAACTTAGTCGCAGTCTTTGTTTTGATAATCATCTAAATTTTTTCGACTTTAAACAAGGATATCTCGATAACTGCCTATCTAAAATCGTTGGAATTTTTTTTTTATTTTGATTCTATGGATCAATAGAATTAAAATAAAAAAAATTTATTAATTTTGGATAGATAGTTATCGAGATACTATCGCTCAAATTTGTAAAGAACTTAGCCGTAGTCTTTGTTTTGATTTGATAATCTTCTAAATTTTTTTTGAACTTTAAACAAGGATATCTCGATAACTTCCTATCTAAAATCGATGAAATTTTTTTATTTTGATTCTATGGATCAATAGAATTAAAATAAAAAAAATTTATTAATTTTGGATAGGTAGGTATCGAGATATCATCGCTCAAATTTGTAAAGAACTTGGCCACAGTCTTTGTTTTGATAATTGTCTAAATTTTTTCAAACTTTAAACAAATTTACTGAAATGTATTAAATCGTAAATAAATTAAGAGTAAATTTATTCATCGCCTGGGGCAATGTATATTATATATCGCTTAACCTATTATATCAAACCCAATTTATTTAGTATATTGGGTGCGACCAATCATTATTGTGACAAATAAGTATTTCATATATAATTTATTTAGCAGATGTTTATTCATCACGCACATAATTACTCACACCCTATATGCAAAATGAACTATAACATAGCAATAGATTTAAATTTGTTAATACAAGCAATATACTAGCCATTATTTAACAATGCTTGTACAGTATATAAAGAATGCTAACAATCACTATTTTTAGTGGGATATTTTGGAGCATAATGGCCAGTTTTATGACACAATCCACATTTACGACCACCAACAGTATTGTTCGTATCACTATTATCAGCCTTATGTTTATTCTCTTTTTGATTACTTACTGCACTTTTTTTCATTATAAGCTTTTAATCGTTTGTTTGGACATCTACCTTTACCTATGTGTTCTAATGGATCTTTAACATTATTAGCATCAAGTACATGACCATTAAATAATTTAATTTCACAGTTTGAATTAATGTTTTCTCTTAAGATTTCATATTCTGATTGCATATTTGTCTGCCGGTTCGTTTCTTTTTCTGAAATATAAGACAATATAAGATCATCTAAAGCATTTTGATCATTACTTTCTATTGAATAATGTAGCACTTTTTTGAAATGTCCCATAAGTTGATCATAATATAGTTTTTTGCGTATATGTTGGTGAACATGTTCTTCTTGAACATTATTATAATGTTTAGGAATCAGATAAGTTCTCTGTAAACTATTATCATAGAAATTATTTAAATGTTTAGATGATACTCCAATAAAATATTCATTCGAAGCTAATTCAACTTTATTCCAAATATTGTCTTGAAACCATTGTATTGACATCAACATTACGTGAAACAATGCATTTGAATTTTTCACCATCAGTTTAAAGTAATGCTGACAGATAGATCCATGTGAAACTAATAGCAAACAGGTACATAAATGCGTTCCATCTTTAAAAAGAATAATATGCTAATATGAACTTGTAACCATATAAGGAATGATTTGCCATACTTCTTGAATTGATTCTTTTGAAACGGAGTTTATTAATGTTTTTAAATATGCTTGTCGATGATCATAATGGTCTTCAATATTCATGACATCTTCATTATTTTGATTATCTACTAACGGTATCTCATTCTAAAATTCATAAAAATTAATTATTAATAAGGTATGCCTAATTTGGCGCAGTGCCTAATTTGGCGCATTCATGACATCTCAACTGGAATCACGTGATTTTGGTACTGTTAGATTCATCTCGACGAGACAAATCTAACAGTACCAAAATCACGTGATTATAATTGACAGATCACGAGATATCGCTGTTCGTGTAAATTCTCTTTCTCTAGAATCTTGACAGAAATAGAATCAACATATTAAAGATCGATTTTTTGTATTAAAAAACATTAATAGGATAGTCATAATTAATTTGGCACATTTTACTAAGATAGCAATTTAATTAATTGCATACTTAGACACATTTAATTACTACTTGGATTCAATTCAGGTAACTTTTTTAAGACAAATATAATTCGTCTCTTTATATTTAATAATTGCATACTTGGACACATTTAATTATTCCTTCAGTTCCAATTCGGGTAACTTTTAAGACATATTTAATCTTGTGGCATGTTATTTTTATTAAAATGTACGCAAAACATCACAAAACATGATGCACGCAAAATTATAAAATCCAATTAAAGTAAAATCCCGATCGTGTTAAATAAAAAAAAAACTGCATGTTTTAAAATTTATTTGGCCAAAAAAAATAAACAACTTGATCGTAAATATTATAAATATCACATGTTATCTTAAAGCATATCATCGTGTGTAATATAAAAAACTAACCATAAAACAATAAATAGTTAAAGTTAATACTGTTACTAAATAAAAAAATAAAAATAAAAAAAATAAATTTTGAATTCTCAAACTCCAATATAAAATTATGACAAAATATAGCGACTATACAACTTAATATAATGCCATTAATAATGCCCTTAAAGCAATTAAAGACTCACCAAATGACTTGGCTCTAAGCACCAGAAGTGTTGCACGAGACTATGGTCTTTCAGAAACTATCCTCAAACGTGTTATTGAAAATAGTAGCCCTCTCACTCATCCAAGCTGTGCCAAAATTTTAACAAACCATGAAGAGGAGCAGCTTGTGAACTACTGCTTGAATATGCAGAAGCTCAGCTTTGGGTTAACAAGGTTTGGTGTAAACTAGTGTGTTATGGATATAGTTTATCAAGGTAGGTGGCCCTATCCTTTTAATGAAAATAGACCAGGGCAAAAATAGTGGCATCACTTCATAAAAGACCACCCGGAACTGTCATTTCGTGTTTCACAAGCTCTAAACGAAGCCCATGCACAAAAAGCAAACTCTGTTATCATTAAGAATCATTTCGACAAACTTCAAAGAATTATTAAAGAATACTCACTTACTGCTGATTGCATTTGGAATATGGTGCAGTCTTTTTTTCTTTTTTTTTTTTTTATTCTTTTTTTTTTTTTTATTCTTTTTTTTTTTTTTATTACAGTATTTTTTATTTTTTTAGAACGAAACTGGTTTCGTTATTGAACCAAAGCTCCAAAAGGTTATAGCAAAGAAGGGAACATGTCAGATCCAAAAAGTTTCACATAGAAGTTCTCATGAACATATTTCTATATGTCCAACCATTTTAGCAGCTAGCACATACATCCAACCATTGTTTATTTTTAAAGATAAACGAACAATCCTGGGTCTTCTAAATGGTGCACTTGCTAGCTCTGTTATAGGGTTCACTGAGACAGGATACATGCACGAGAGCCTATTTCAAAAATACATAGAACATTTTATTAGTTCTATTTCACTTGATATTCTGTTTTGTTAATTCTAGATGGTCATAAAAGTCACATTAATTATATTAGTGTCAACTTTTGTTATGAGAATAGTATACTTCTTTATACGCTTCCCCCTCATACTACTTATGTTTTACAGCTGACCAAATTACCATTTGCTAACCTAAAAAAAGTATATGATAACGAATGTAAAAAGTTTCGAATTAACAATAAGGGTAAGCATATGAATAAGTATACATTTGCTAAAGTATTAGGACCAGCCTATATTACAATCTATACACCTACTGCTGTATGCAATGCCTTCAAAACTACTGGAATTTGGCCATTCAACCCAAATGCCATTGGTCCTGACTATCTGGGTTCCTCATTAACAACAAAACATACTATTACTTTACAAGTTTCTAAACAATCAACTTCATCTTCACAATCTTCTAAGTTGAACTCAGGTTATATACATCTCACCCAGCCACACTCTATGAACAAAGAACTAGTATCAGAAATTGTATTACTAAAAAAAATGGGTAAAATATTGGAAAAAAAACTTGAAACCTTTAAAAAACCTGGTACAAGTTCTTTAAAGTTGGTACTTAAATATTCCTTCTGGAATAATTCGCAACCGACTAATAATTTGCAGCCGAAAAAAGATCTAGAAACTGAAGAAGAACAATCTGAATCAGTGCTGCCAAAGAGAAAAAAAAGGAAAACTATGCCCTTCTCCCAGCTTCTTAACAATAAAAGATCCTTACAACAATTAAAAGAGGCAGAGAGTGGCCAACGAAAAGCAGTATAAAAAAAGATAGCCACCCAAAAACGAATGGCATGTGAGGCCAAGAAGACACAAAAGCAAGAAGCCCATAGATAAAAAAAGAAGGAGACTGAGTGTATTAAAGCAATAAATGGCTTGAAAGTAGAAATTTTAAATTTGCTACAGTGTGTCAATTTAGGATGATCTTTTGATAATCTCTATTTATAGTAGATTTTATATAATTAGATAAAGATCAATTTTTTTTCTATTTAAAAAGTTTTTTTTTAAATAAAGATTTATTTTAAGTCGAAATGTACCGAATTAAGTAAAAACTTGCAAATTTTTATAACAATTCTATAAAGACTTACTATAAGTACATTTAACTGTACCAAATTAGATATACCTATCTTATATTGTATAGCATATACAACTCTAAGTCTAATACTAAATAAAGCCTAATCTTAACCTTAAAACTAACCCTAACCCGAATTCTAATAACTAATTCTAATTATTACCCTAACTCTAACCTTAAAAACTAACCCTAATTCGAATTCTTATAACTAATTTTAATCTTCATCCTAACTCTAACTAATCTTAAGTTTTATATTTTAATCTTAATTTGTATTTATCCTAATTCTAATCCTTAATTTGCATTTACTCTAATCCTAATCTTTAATCAAATTCCAAGTTTTTACTTATAGTTAATACTAATGTAAAAATTAATTCAAATAAGTTAACCAATTCTATGAATAATAATAACTTACTAATTGATTTTCAATTAAATCAAAAGCTTCTTCATTAGGTACTTTTTCACATTGATACAATACTGATTCACACATCTAAGTATGGATTGCTTCAACAATTTGTGGAGAAAAATATTTTTTAATCATATTGTTTACATTATTAAAAATGTTTTCTACAATAAATGGTTGGTGAAATGTTGTTGACTTATATTTCCACATCATAAAACTCTTTTTTAAAGCTTCTTTCTGCATTCGAGAGTCTAATGCTTCAACTACATTAGCTATAGTAGAGCTAGCAAAAACAGCCTTATGGATAAGCACATTTATTAACTCAACATGTTGTGTTAATTGCATACCAACTGTAAATATTCGACTTGTAAAAGCATGTGCCCAAGAATGGTGTGTTGCATAAAGTAGATCAAGCAAATAATTATTGACACTAAAATAAGTATCTAATAAAGTTTGAAATCTTCATTCAGACCTGTGGGTTGATAGCATAGCGGTTATGCTCCCAGGTTGCAAATTAGACGGTTGCCGGTTCAATTCCTTCCAGCAGTGAAATAATGAAAACCCAAATATGGAAGTGAAACACCGCGGGGTACAGGGAACTCAGGACATCTACGGATGGACGTATTCAGAAAATAGTTATTCTGAGAAGTTGTGGCTGTAAAGCGAGGCGTGTTAGAACCCCGATTTGGAATAACCGAAGTCATGAGACGTACTGTGAAGCCAAAGTCTGAGAAGATACTACAAGAACTCATGGTGCCACCAGATTGGCTGGTGAAATCCCAGTTTAATATTAAGGTGTTTCGACCTCTCTGGAGTGTCATGCAGGCGGTCGGATCTAGGACCCAATGAGGGAACCGGAGAAATGGCGGGCAATAGATCCCAGGTGAATATACATGATTCCCGTATGGGAATTATGGAGATCCTGTGACACTAGTAGCATAGGGTTAACTATAAAGATAGCTGGACCAAGTCACATCTAGACTTGCCAAAGTAATAATAAAAAAAAAAAAAAATCTTCATTCAAAAACATTAATATATAATGAATTATGTGTTTTTCAAAAGTTATTAATAAAAGTTTTGTAATCAATAGGTTCAAGTTTATTTTTAAGTTGTTTTGGTAAGTTTTAAAACAAGTGCCAAATACAATATATATGATAAATATTTTTATATACAATTTGACAAGCTGCATCTATAGCAGGATCCATGTCTATTAAAATAACTTGTAGCTCAACATTCGTTGTATCTAATGTTTGTTAAACCCACTCATAACTCTCTTTAGTTTCATCATTCAAAAAGGCTTGTGCTCTTAAACGTGATCTTCTATCATTATTGACAAGTATAAATAAGAATAATGGATAATTATATTTATTAGTTCGTAAAGTATTATCATGCAATACAATATCTGAGAAATGAGACCACAACACAATTTGATCCTCTGTCATCCAAAATATACTACATAATCTATCACTGTCAGTATTAATAAGAGGTTGTATAAACATTATAGGTTCTTCTTTTTGTTTCTCAAGAAGATACTTCAACAATTGAGAAGCATCTAAACCAGTAATTTTATATTTGTGTTTAAATTTTTTAAATAGCATTCAAGAAATTTTGTGTAAATAAAAGTTGATTGGGGTACGATGGTTGTAATAAGTTCCTTATGCTATGTGTATTGCAATGTCCATAAATAACTGCATATTCAATTTCTGACATTATATCTTGATCAAATTTTCGGAATATAGCAGCAAACTTTACATTATTAATATTTAAGTTATGATTATGTTCAAGGTTCATAAGACCCATATATATACCATTACTTTCAAGCTTATTTAAGTTAATATGCCAGTGGCAATTTGTTTTTTTTGAACCTTTATTACATTATTATTCAATTGGTTTTGATTTAATAGGCTTATATGCACTAGCATTTTCGCATGCAAATGTTTTTTTTTTTACTGATCTATCATCAGATAACAATTGCACTCTATATCTCTTGACTACAAATCCTCTCTTCTTTCCATATTCTCTTATATAAAGTTTAGCAACTTCCCAAGAATCGAATTGTAAACCAATAAGCGGCTCATCAGGTAAAGAACAACTAATAGAAGTAATGTCTAATTGCAAATAAAGCTTATTAGATCGAAAAGTATTACTAATAACAACTCAAACTAAAGAAAAAGTAAATCATATAATATTTTTACCTTTTTCAAAGTTTAATAAACATATAAACTCTAACAACTCCAAATCTAATTCTATATTATTCTTGATTTCTGTCAAATACAATGTATTAATTACATTAGATAAAAGCTTACAATCTATAACAAAATGATAATAATACCAACCCAATTCTAAACCTATAGCAAGTTCAGTCTTATTTCACAATCTATTTCTGAATCTGAACTTATAATGTTATTTTCACTATTTACTAACCCTGTAAGTAATTAAATTATTGCATTAGATTACTAACTTTATAGCTAATAACAAACAAACAGAACGATAGTAGAATAAATAAGATACTAATCTAATTCTGAATCTAACACAGGCCTAGAATTATCTTTGCTTATTTTCAAACCGCAACACCTTTGCTTTTTACTAACTTTGCAAGTAATTATTATATTAAGGCATAGAGTTTATTGTCAAAAACAGAGTAAACGAATTAGACATTAACCTAATTCCAAACTGAAAGCAGTTCGAGACATATTTTCACTTTCTAAACTTGAACCTATACCAATATTTGAACAACAAATGGCCCTTACATTGCTTTTACTTTCTTCAAAGCCTGTAATAAATTGCTTGTGATATTAAGACTACAAAATTTATATTGACAGAGAGATGAGTAAAACACTAACTTTGGTCACTTTCTTCAGCTTAGTAGAATAAAACATTAATAAAATGGTTAAGCCAATGAATATTGCTATAAAAGAAAAAAAAAAAGTACTACTAGATATGTCATTATATAAAGGTTCCATTTTCATATAATAGCTAAAAAGAGGGTAAAAAATAGTTATCGCTATAACATTTCAATTTTGATCATCATAAGTTACGTATTTAATGTTAAGGTGATATCGTTATACACACAATGAATAAATTTATTCTATTATTTATAATCTAAATTAAAAATATTTTATAAATAAATTTTATTATTTAATAATAAAATAATAGAACATTTCTAATTTATACTACAGATGATTATCACTTGTAGTCAATTTACGAATTAAAATTCAGGATCAGGTATAACATATAAATCAAATTTGTATAACAAAAACAATGAATTTTTTAAAAAACTACTTATATATTAAAATTTTGTCTATGAAACTACTTTTAAACTCTAATAAAAAAAATTCTTTGCCAAATTTTACTATATAAAAAGCTCTACCCTAACCACCAACCCTAACCTCTAATCCTTACCCTTATCCTAATCTTAAAGAAATTAATTTTTGGTTTGTTAAAAATTAATTGTTTTTGTTTATATTGTAGATCACAGGTGATAATTACCTATAGTGAATATTAGTTAATTGTTAGGGGCGTGCCATTTATTACATAATAAAATCTTACTAATAGTCTACCCCATCTATCCATGGTGTGATCTCAATGCTGATTGGCTAGATTATATATATATATATTTTTTTTTTTTAATGTTAAAGGTGAGACCATGCTCTTATCTTTATTAAACTTAATGAAAACTTTT